CTCTGCAGTGAATGGGTGCCGTCAGAACGAGAGTCCAAACAGCTGATAAAAACATCACAATAATCCACAAGTAATCCACACCACTTGAGAAGACAAAATCCATAATCCATAATAATGCTTCCTCCAGTGAAAAAGTGTTCTGGTCTGAATCAGGAGAGAAATCTGCACAGATCAAGCGCCGTTTACAAGCCAAATACAGCACTAAACAAATATGTGGCTGGACTTTGATGTGAGAGACGACAGGAGATGCATTTTTTCACTGGAGGAAGCATTATTATGGATTATGGACTCATATTTTAGCTGGAAGCAAACAGTTTAACGTTAAAACATCTTAAAGATAGATTTGTTTCTTCCAAACATGCAGCTTTTGTCTTCTCCAGATGTTAACTGATGGACTGGAGTGGTGTGGATTACTTGTGGATTATTGTGATGTTTTTATCAGCTGTTTGGACTCTCATTCTGACAGCACCCATTCACTGCAGAACATCCATTGCTGAGACACTGATGCAATGCTACATTTCTACAAATCTGATGAAGAAACAAACTCATCCTAATCTCGGATGACCTGAGGGGTAGTAAATATTCAAATTCAAATTTTTGGGGTGAACTATTCCTTTAAATAGCCAATAGGCTCAGAGCTCTTATGTGGTTATTATATAATATGTATATTGTTGTGCTCTTGCCAGCCTGGTGATTCTCTTTTGACCTCTCTCATTAACAAGGCCTTTTCAGCCACAGAACTGTCGCTCCCTGGTTGTTTTTTTGTTTTTCTGCATTTGCTGTAAACTCAAGACTGTTTACAGTGCGTGAAAATCCCAGATCAGCTGTTCCTGAGATACTCAAACCACCTCGACTGCCAACAACAATCATTCCACAATGTCACTTAGATCGCATTTCTGCCCCAACAGGGATTGAGTTGCCACCTCATGATTGGCTGAGCAGAAATTTGCATTAACAAGCAGGTGTATCGGTTGTACTAAAATAGCCAATAATCTACCAGTAATCCTACTAAAATAGCCATCTTCATATTGCACGTCAAACAAATACATGTGAAAGACTCCAAATTAGACGTGTAAATTAATGCGTATTATGAAGAAAGATGAGAACTCACTGTCATCATTTGTCTAACGCAGGTACTCGTTTCAAGATGAGGAGGACATGTTCATGGTTGTTGACCTGCTGCTGGGAGGAGATCTGCGTTATCATCTACAGCAGAACGTGCACTTTACAGAGAGCACAGTCAAGCACTATGTGTGTGAAATCGCCCTCGCTCTGCACTACCTGTGCAACAAACGCATCATCCACAGGTAATGACTGCATGAAGCTTTTACACATCCAGTGATACAATCAAAGCAAAAAATTATAAAAAAAAATTTTTTAAAAGTCTCATGCACAAGCAAAGTTAGATGCTGATGTACTGTACTGTTCTCTGTGTGTGGCCTGGTTTGCTTATACAGATACAGATACAGACAATAGACAATCTTATTACCAAATAATACGATTTATATGTACGCACACACACATACACACACACACAAATTCTTACGTTTGCTTGATAAAAATCTGTAAAGATTTGACAGCAAAAAGACCTGAGCTGAAGATGGATGTTTATACAATTATAACAAAAGTCCTTTTAAAAAAACATACACTCTCAATCAGACGACAGAAGGCATGCAGTAGATTGTGTACATCAGGTTCCCTATCTGTCAGTCACTACGAGTTATGTCGTGACGACATTAGGGGTTTACTCGGGAGCCCCAATCATCTCTGATTTTAAGAGAAAACGGCAATGAAATTTGGCTTGTGGATTTTGCATGCTGAGCCACTCCCTGTGCATACGGGTATAAATAGGCGACAGGTGCATCCACTCATTCAGATTTTTGCTTCGGAGCTGAGAAGTTGTATGAAAGCTGTTATAATCCACAAAGCCTTTCATCTGCTGTGTGTCGGAGAGCTGTTCTGGTTGGGGGTACGGCGCAAACAGCGGTGTCCCTTTCAGTGATTCCCCTGGGCACTTCAACTAAAAGAGCAAATTGCGGACGACTCGCGTCTTTTTAAAGATGTCTGGTCTCTGCTTTCCGCGCTGTCCATGTTCTCTTGGTTGTGGTCATTGCCTGTCTGATGACGGCCACGAGCGTTGTCTTCCATGTCTGAGCGTACAGCATGCTGAAGACGTGTTCGCGGTTCATGCCCGCACTGCGAGCGCATGACCATGGCAACGCTGTGATCGCCTCTCTGCTTTCTTAAAGGGAAAGTACGAGACCCCTCTGTCACTACCCGTTCCGTTCCGATTTCGTTCCGAGAGGACTGCCGGCTAGTGCTCTGGGAGCTCTGAAGGTTACAGTAAGGGCCTCTCCGCCGGGCCAGCCCCCACGGACCTCTTACTCTTCCTGCAGCGCTTGTCCTGTGCGGCTCCCGGATGATTCTGCTGGCCTGCTTCACGGTGGCCACAGCATTTCATTCGGTGCACCGCTTGAGAATCAGATGTTGATAGCAGCATCGGGGGATGGGCTATCATCCTCCGAGGATGAAGATTCGAATGGTGTTGTTGCCACCGCCGAATCGGACCCGGAGTTGACGGCCATGCTTGCCCAAGCAGCCGTGAGTATCGAGCTGGAGGTGTGCACGCCACCCAGTCCTGAGCCCTTTTGGCTGGACAACTGGTTTCTCGATGCAGGGCGCGGCTCACGACCGCGTTCTGCCCCAGTTCCTTTCTTCCCGGAGGTGCATGAGGAAGTAACAAAGTCGTGGATGGCCCTTTTTACGGTGGCTAGGGGGTACATGGACATTCATGGGGAGAGCAGTTGCGGTGCACCTGTGCCCGCAAAACACAGCCACTTGGCGGAATCGTCCTCGTCTCCCATCCAAAGCCTGTAAGCTGTCGGTGGCTCTCGCTGCCAAAGCTTACAGTGCTGCGGGCCAAGCCACCTCTGCCCTGCATGCCATGGCTATCCTGCAGGTCCACCAAGCCAAGGCACTTAAACGAATGCACGAGGGTAGTACCGACTCGAGGTTGATACAGGAGCTGCGCACGGATGACTGACTTGGCAGCTAAAGTTGCGGCGCGGTCCCTCGGGAAGACGGTGTCCACGTTAGTGGTCCAAGAGAGGCATCTCAGGCTCAACCTGGTTGAGATGAGAGACGTTGACAAAGTGAACCTTCCAACGCATCTCTGGCTGGTCCCTCCGGGGACACGGAGAGTCCTGCTGTGATGAGTCAGGACGTGATGCCTTCTGTGCCATCCAGCACGACTTCCCAACACTGCACCACTGCGGGTATGTCGATTGTTCCTTTGGTGCCACTCACACTGAGCTTGGAGGCGTGGCTTGTGCTGCCAAACCCATCCCGTTGGCTCATTCGGACAGGTAGACTCAGCTACGCGATTCATTCTCGAGATTTTGGTGGCAGCTCGAGATGCCCCTGTCCTGCGCTAGGAGATTGCTGTCCTACTGACGAAGGATGCAATCGAGCCTGTCCCTCCAGCCGAGATGGAGTCGGAGTTTTACAGCCATTGCCCCGTTATGGGAAGTGGGCATCAGGATCCTCAACTATCTCGACGACTGGCTCATCATGGCCCAGTCGTGAGAACAGTTGTGCGATCACAGGGACCCGGTGATCCAGCACCTCAGCCAACTGGGGCTTCGGATCAACTGGGAAAAGAGCAAGCTCTCCCCTGTGCAGAAAATCTCTTTTCTCGGTATGGCGTTAGATTCGATGAGTATTATGGCGCTTCTCACCAACGAGAATGCCCAGTCAGTGCGGCTGAAGTCGCTGCGCGCCATCCACATTCCGGGGGAGCTCAATTGTATGGCCGACACACTCTCACGACAGCTTACTTTCCCTGGACAATGGCGACTCCATCCCCAAGCGGTCCAGCTGATCTGGAGTCGATTCGGGGAAGCTCAGGTGGACCTGTTTGCTTCTCACGAGTCCTCCCACTGCCTTTTATACTATTCCCTGACCCAGGCCCTCCTCGGCATGGATGCATTGGCTCACAGCTGGCCCGGACTCTACACAAGTATGTATTTCCCCCAGTGAGCTTTCTCGCATAGACACTGTGCAAGGTCAGGGAGGACGAGGAACAGGTCTTGCTAGTTGCGCCTTACTGGCCCACCCGGACCTGGTTTTCAGAACTCATGCAGAATGAGCTTTATTGCCAGGTATGTTTACACATATGAGGAATTTGTTTTAGTGACAGAAGCTCCACAGTGTGGCAGAATCACAGTGACAAGGCAAGACACAGATAATAAAAAGAATAATATACAAATATGCAAAATAGACAATGTGCAAAATAGCAAAAACACAATATACAAAATAGACAATTTAGTATGTACAGTTATGTTAGGTGCAAATTTGAAATGTAAATGAGTGTGTTAAATAAATAAATTTATAATAATGTTATGTGTTCCACGTTTATTGTCAAATGCACAGGGAGTGGCTCAGCATGCAAAATCCAGTAGCCAAATTTCATTGGCGTTTCCTCTTAAAATCAGAGATGTTTGGGGCACCCGAGTAAACCCCTAATGTCGTCACGGCATAATGTCTCCATTCCCTCCATCAGGGAACAAGGGTTACGTACGTAACCGAGACGTTTTGCATGCAATGTTCGATCTAATTTATGTTGATAAATTAGAGGCCTTGGAAATTAGCGTGCCAAATATGATACAGTGGGGTTTTTCTGTAGATTTTACACCTCTGTGGGTGATTTTGAGCCCTAAATATTTACAGTAAGACTTCGACACATCATATGTATTGTGAACATTTTTGATTTATAAACCTTTAGTACATTAAATGTATCACACATCAGCAGTATATACTTCATTATTTTATCCAGAATATCTGGAATAAATCTCACTTACTTAAGTGCCAAACTTTCTGGACAATTTTGGACAAATGTGCTGTTCTTTCGTCCCAGACAGACGCATGAGAAGAAAGATAATAAGGACAAATTAAAGAACTCATTGCTGCAGACAGTAATAATTCATCAGCAGCCTTATTTTGAATTAGAGAAATTCTGGAGATTACTTCATCTCTGTCCAGCAGGATATACTTCTCTGTGATGAATATAACCAAGGACTATGCCTAAGGACTAAGGACTGAATATGGCAGTGGGCAAATGCATAAAGCGCAGCATAATTTGAAATCACGAGTTTAAAGTTTGTCGATCGCGCATCTCTAGTGAAGCTGAACTCTCCACCTGTCTTGTATTAGACAGAACTGTTAACGACAACAGCGAAGAAGAGGGAGAATGTGAGTACTGTGTGCTGCTGCTGTCAGCGCCGTCAAAATAAAAGTCCCGCCTCGAACGCATCGGCCAAACAGAAAAACTTATCGGCCGATGTCGACCACTAGTTATAACATGGACATTGTTCACACTTCTCTCAAATCATATTTGTTTGTTTGTTTGTTTAAATCCAGTTTTTAGGATTGGCTGCCCATTCTGTCATGGTCAGATAGTGTAGGCAGAATCAGTTACCACTTAATCATTGACATGACGGCAGTAGACTTTCTGTCCATACAGTGATGGAAGCTGTAATTTCAGTGTCCAAAATGACATTCTAACTCACTCATTCAATTCAAGTTTATTTGTATAGCGCTTTTCACAATACAAATTGTGATGACGTAATCAAACAGACGATAAACACTATTAAAAGCAATTATTATATGTTGCAATCAAAATTTGGTAGTTTATGTTGTTTCAGGGTTGGCCTCATCAGAGGTGTTCTGAGGGGTTGGCATCATCTCTTCTCAGGTGTTCAGTCATCTCAGGTCTTTCTAAGGGCTGGATCCAGACTGAAAGCTTGTGTAATTCCTAGTTACCACGGGATGTCAATTCGTCAATACGTCGATTTTTACAAAGCTCATCGGTCTGAAAAGCGAGGTGTGCTCAGTGGTGACTATGTCAAATTGATGTACATATGACAGAAATGTACAGTAAAATTCAGTTAATGGCTGTGATGGGTGTCTGAGGCTGGAATCGAACTCGGGTCTTCTAGTCAACTGAATGGCCTCTTTTACCACTGCGCTATGGTGGATGACAAATAACAGCTGGACCCAAGGGCAGAAACATAACATGCAGGCTTAGATGACTGAACAGAACACCTGAGAAGAGATGATGCCAACCCCTCAGAGGACCTCAGATGATGCCAACCCTGAAACAAGATA